TAAATGCTTTTTCAACCATAATCGGTGTTTACAGAATATACAAAGATTTTGTATCTCTAACGTTGTTTTGCGTGATCATTCATCTCATGGATAGAAAGAGCTGTGTTAACAATCGGAATTGCAGCTGCATTTTAATCACAAGCAGTTTGTCAAAGTTTTAAAGTGAAGAACCACTTTCATATTGCAAATAAATATTGATTTCCATGGTTTGCAATGTAACGATCATAACGGTGATTGTAATAAAATCTATATTGGAGTTGCAATCTACAGTGTATTTCTTTTTGGGTAAACTATTGTTATCGTTTTATCAATCAATTAGTCAATCATTTGGAGGGAAAATATGTGGCAAAAATATTTGTGGCCTATAAATCTTTTTTTAAATACTCCACAATTTTCCTTTGTTTTTTGTTGGTGTATGGATTTGAAACACATAAAACTGTCCCATAGTTCTAGTTCAAGTGCAATGAACTCTGATCTTCTACATAATGAAATTGCATTACAAACTGTTTAATGGATATTAAAGGGTTGTAAAATACTAAATACAAAATGGAATACATTGGATAAAAGAAAAAAATTCCGAACCATGGATTACATTTCAAGGAAGAACAAAATATTTTGTTGCTTCCTTAGCAGTGCTTCTGGATTAACTTTACACGGTTTCGTATCGGAGATTCGATAATTTCTCGTTTTCAGATAAAACGTGCTGCAGAGAATTTTTGATATTTTTGAGATAATTGGTAGCAGAGAAAAAATATTTATGGTTATGTTTCTATAAAATGGGTAGTCATAGTAATATTTTTTTGTGAATAGAAAGATGTAATGATATCGCTAATTTTCACATTAATCATGCCCAAGTTATTTAATTCCTGATGTTATAACAGTGACCATTTCATGTTACAAGTGAAATGTGAAGATAACGAACATGAATAAAATTCCTTATGTGCGCCGAATAAATTTTTGTATTTTCACACAATAAATAATGTTTTAAAAAAATAAACAACAAGGATATCAACAGTATCGTTTGAAGTCATCATTTTGCAAGTTTTAAGGTCGATACAGTGACCTTGTCAGCATTAAGTCAAATGCTGACTGACGTTTTTCATACTAATTGTTAGGTCATTATACACACTGAATTGTCTACGGATTTTCCTGTTTTCTCCCCCGATCATGACAAGGAGCACACAAGGGGGATATGACTGGTCGGCAGGGGATGCTCACTCCTCCATGGCACCTGATCCCATCTCTGATGTTTCCAGAGGCCCGTGCTTGCTCTGCTCCCGATTTGTATTGTCTAAATGAATTTTGAGCTTGCATACTGTTCGTTATCTCAATATATCATGATCGATACAATAGCCTTATTTGCAAATTATAATCTGTCCTTCGGTCGAATGTTGACTGATGCCTTTCATACAAATTGTTAGGTCATTTTTTCAAGTTTTCTACGGAATTTTTCGTTCACCCGATCATGACATAAGCGGCATACGGCGGGTGATGTTTATTCCTTTTCGGCATCTGATCCCACCTCTGATGTTTTCAGGCGTATGTGTTTGCTCTGCTCACAATTTGTATTGTTTAATTTGAATTACTCGCATTTCATTGTATGTCATAATTTTTTTTTGTTTTGCCAAAATAGACGCAAATTAATTTACAAGCATTTTACTCTAACCTTGTAAGTTGCTAGAGAAAATGAGAAAAAAAAATTCAATGTTCCAATTCTTTTTCCAACAAGGCTACAAATGCAAGGCATAAAGTATTAACCAGTATAATCACTTCTGTGATAAATAGTGAGGAGGAAAGTGCGATCTAGGCGAGATATCCTACGCAGAACAAGTAATTGCAATGGAATTTAATGGACACTTCTTTTATTCATTCGACATTTTTTCGACAGCTTTCCTACGTGCCCGGATGTTAATGGGTCTAAAGACCTCCCTTGATACCTTTTCCATACTGCAGAACAACATAACAAAAATTGATCTGATATTACCAAAATTACAAACAGATTCGACATTCAATCGCATCAGTTATTCACTTTTATGTGTAATATTTTGATGAGTATTTGGTTGATACTGAAGTACAAGTACTGGAATTCAGTATGGACGGACTGTTTGATAACAGCAAAGCACCAGCATAAATAGTGTTTTAAAGTAATTCAAGTTTAGTCAGAATTCAGGAAGATGATATGTTTAATCAACGTAATTGCGTAGAATAACATTTCAAAGAAAGAAAATCACAATTTTTACTATGCATTAATTTGACAAAATATGATCAGTAATTGAAATCACTTCTATTTTGTGAGTTTTATTTGAAAGACAATAGAGACAATAGCATGGTACATTATTTTTTCTGTGTCGTCAGTATACTAAATAATGAGATAATGTCTTAAATTATGATTCAACAGATCTTTTCCCAGTGTCCATGAAATACCATAACAAGATGTGCTTGATGAACAGAATTGTCCCCAAACAGGGCCATGTTTTTATGTAGAATGCATAGTTCCTAGAAATATTATGTATGTGATTATACGATGTTTTAGTCGACTAAGAGATGTTGTTTTTATTTGAAATTTAAATTAGCCATGTAGTTCTGCAACTATTATTGGCAGGAAGGATATATAATGATGTAATCATAATAGTGTCTTAGAATTTAGTTGCAACAGTCAGCATTAGAATTACTGATTATTAATGGCAATGTTTGAAATATGCAAAGCTTTCACACAGAGACACTTAGGAGGACAAACAGAGCAAAAACATTAACACCCCCCCCCCCCCGGGGGATAAAAAATAATGGATTACTCATATAAAACTACGCTACCATTAGACAACAGATTACGAGATCGAAAATTTAAAAAAAAAATAGGAAAAAGAATACCAATTTCAGATTATTTCTATTAGGAAACTCAAAGAACATGCATGAAGTAGTATATACACTTGTTGCAAAGACACCTATGTAGATTTGTGACTTGTACTTAGATAATTGATATCCTAGTACTAGTTTACGATCTTCATTCCAGTAATGAGTTAATCTAATCAAATAGATTATTCCCATCTAAGTTTTTACATTGATATGAATTGTTAAATATCAGGGAAATATGTTTCATGAATGACAAACTTTCTCGTGTTCTTTCATTCTACTGAAATTTAATCTTCATCAGCTAGTCAGTTTTGCACATTTTAACAAAAAAAAAATCGTTTATATGTTTGAATGCATTTGCTGTACATGACACATTCTAAGATTACACCCCTCAGATGTAGCACTGCAATAATTCCAAAAACTTCGTTAGTTAGAAAATAAGCAATGCTGGTGCAACAAGGATGGCTGAAAGACGCAAATCTGGTGCATAGAAATGCTTTTTAAAAAATAAGAGTTGATGGTAAGTGATTTGTGAACTCTGAAATTCTACTACATTTAAATTCTTCAAAATGTTTCTTTAGAATTTATCAGTTTTTATTGTTCCCTATCCTTTTTATTTGAAACATGAGCAAAAGAACTCACCAGGGAACACATTTTTACACTATTATTGCACCAACAGCTGAGAAACAATCGAAATTGTAAAACACAAACCATTAGTTTAGTAAAAGAGCCTTCGCGTTTTCAAATCGAATTACCTTTGATAAAGTGTGACCTTCATCAGTTCGGTTTTCTTCACATTTCACGTTAATGTCCTTTTCTTAAAAATTAAATGTACTTGGCAGTACAAATAATTTCTCTATTGCAACCACGAGGAATTTTGTTATTAATTAAGTGAAATACTAGTAGCTAGACTTGGATATGGAGATAACGAACAGTATTTTAGTATGAAATGAAAATAAACTTAACATTGGTAACGTTCTTCCTGTTTACTGGCCTTGAAAACTGTTAAGCATTTGAAAAAGAAAACAATGTTGAAATCCTTTGATTAACTTTATAATTGAAATGAATAAGGCAAGGTGCTGATGTTTTTTGTGTTATTTATATATATTTCGCTGATATACCACATAAAATCCAGTTGCCAACTACATACACCTGTTATCACATGCTGGGATAGAATGTTTTTGACCAGCAGCCGTGATAATTTGACGTCACCATCATGTGTACATGACCATTTCTTGGGAAATATTAATGTTGTCATCAAAGGGAATTACCTTCAAATTGCTTTCGGAGAAAAGTTGGGAAAATGTTCAAAGCTCATTTCTGCAGGTCACGAACCTTTTCATTTGAGGTTAAAATCTCCTTTGGAGATATCAAAAATTATTTTTGGAACCTATTCCTTAGTATAAACAATACGTGTCCAATCCCTCGATACATTATGATGAATATAATTATTAAAAAATTTATTAATATTGATCATGAATACCTGTATAAAATAAAACTAAATAAAATGAAATTTAAAAAAATATTGGAGGGATATACAAAAACAAAAAGAATGGAAAAAAGCATGTGTTAGAGAAATTCTTTTTGTCATCAGTTAGATTTATAGTCATTTCATTTCCATTTTAATCTTGGCAAATTCCATTGGAATATTATTTATAAAGGCGTAAAGCATCAGTATAAAATAATTGATATTGACATCAGCTAAAAGGTGTTACATGTAAATGTAATAGAAGAGTTTTATGTCATTTTTTTTTCAAAGTAATAGTCCCAAAAGAAGTATTTTTAATGTCATAAAAATCTTATGACCACATAACTGCCGAATTTTTCCATATATATACTGCTTATAATAGATTTTCCCGGGAAAAGCAAACATTTGTGAGATTAAAATACAATAAGAAGAAAAAACAAATTGGTATTGTTCTAGTAGCCATAAAAAGTGTTAACACCTGTGAAAGCTATTTGTGGTAACGGAAATCTGATATTAAAATGGAAGACTTGTAGGTGGATAATTCTGATTTTATGGCAACTTCATGACATTATTATAAGAAAGAAAGGGTGAGATTATTTCAATTTTGCAATTATCATAGCATAAAATGTGGCAAACACACCATGCATACAAAACATGAAAACAAATACTGGAACATACAAACCTTTATTTTCGATCTCAATCTGTGTAAATCTCGTGTTTGGTCTTTATTCCCCGGAGCCGTCCTTTTCCAAAGAAGAATCCCCACTATAGAATACGTTATGGATAGAATAAATAAAGGAATAATGTACGTACACAAAAAAAGACACACGGTGTAAATTTTCCTAGATTCTGGAGTTGGCCAGACTTCTATACATTTGTAAATGTCTCCATTTTTCTGTGCCCTACCGACAAAAAACTGTACAGAGGCTAATGAAAAAGCAGAGAACCATATCACACCTATAACGTATTTCGAACGTGAATAAGTTACCCTAGATCTTAAAGGAAAAAGAACGACCAAAAATCTGTCGATTCCTATGGCCATATTTGTCATTACACTGGCTGCTACGGCGAAAAGTTGAACAAAAAGTACTAAAGTGCAAAGTGGCTTATAGAAAACCCAGTGTCCAAGAATGGTATCTGCAAACGTAAAAGGCATGCAAAAGAATGCCATGACTAAATCAGCAACCGCCAAGTTGATCAGGAAAGGTCGAAGGTCTGTCCGTGAATGTCGACCCTTGGTGAAGACTAGAACTACAAAGATGTTCCCTGTTATGGACAATAAAGTTGTTAGTGTGTAAAGAACCATTAATCCCGTAAGGGACTCATCTGATAGTAGTGGCCCTCTGCTTATGTTCGAGTTTGAGTCATTGGCCGGTGAGGGCACAATTAACGCGGTCAAGTTAATAACATTTTCAGAAGTCGCCATAGACGTATCACTTAAATTTTTCGACATGTCTTCCTCCTCAGTGTCAATGTACAAAATTTCATTCATAATGTGCCGTGACTTTCACTGGTGTAGTTTTTGGCGTAATGATGCAATGTTATTTGAAATCTCCGTAGTGAGTTCCAACACTTTTTTCCGTCTGTCAGCACATGAAATGGGCGGAGATAACCTCCAAGTGCAATTAGAAAAAACATTCCGGATCGATCGTTTAATTCCGAAACAAGTGAAATGCTTACACCTTTGTAGGATTAAAGCTTCTGTTTAAATCGACTCCCGGCACGCACTTCTAGGGAAAGCCAGATCTTCATCTGATCAAATTATCCTCGGTATTGTTACAGTAAGAAGATGTCATTAAGTTAGCCACACTGTTGGTTCGCCTGCAATTTCTACCGACATCTGCTAAGAATAATTCTGAAGATTTGTTGAATGAATGTGATAGCGATAGACTGCTTGTAGAGTTATCAATTCCACTTAATGAAGACTTTGCGCCAGTGGTATATGATCAGTGGACAGATACGGCTAATATCATGCATAAATAATTTTTATCTGATGCGAACATAAATAAGCAATTACAATAGGTGCAAAACAATCGCCCCTACTGATCAGTGATCGCTTGATATGAACCTACAAGTATAAAAAAAAAATCTGGAATAATATTGAAAATATACGCCTCGTTACACAGTTATTAAATCATCGTAAGGCAGATTTATTACATAATTTATAAATTATTGCGACTTCGTAGAGCTAGTTCAAAACAAACACAAACTTACTTTATTATGTAAGAATGGAAACATTTATTTGGGTAATATCCTTATCTCTTCAGATTTCTTAAGATATGCAAATGCTTTGATGTACAATGTATTTAGTACGGCTGGTGTGTCAGAAAAAATCTATGCTTGGTTCACTATGTGCAAATATATCTTAATAAATCAAAGATACCCACAGCAGTTAGAGATTACACAAGACGGAAGAATAATGCGATAGTAAATTTTCTAAAGAAAAGTTTTACTTAGAATTAATGACCACCCGGTCAGTAAGCTGAGTTAACTATATTATTGATTAACTTAAGCAGGAACAAGAAAACCCAATCACTAGCCATATCGCATATAGATTTTTATCTTTAAACCAGCATTTATATGGCAGAAATTTAAAGATATCTATAACTCTGAAATGCTCTTGACATAACTTCCTTGTTGTTTTCGTAAAAAGAAAGTGAAGTTCTGACGTCATTATTCCCTTGCCTGTGACATAGATAACCTATCGATATTTGTTTTCGTTCATTGTAGTGTGCTTTTCGTCGTGTGTAGTTTTTTAAACTTTCAATTATTATGAGCTTTTCTGTAATATTGCTGAACCAATTATAGCCACTCTTATTTCATACCATCTTTGGATAAAAATTGTGAAATATATAGTATAAACCACATGGATTTTTTTAAGTGGTAAAACAAGCCTCCATATTTAACGCAGTTAAAACAAGCTAATTCTGGAAACTCACCCCCCCCCCCCCCCCTTTGAGGAAAGAGGAGTAAAGCTTAAGTCGTCGCCTTAAGTTTCATTGTAAAAGCTTAACGAAAAACAAAGTTTTCATCAGACAACCATTATCTCAAATATAGGAAATACATGATTTTCTGTTCGAAAAATAAAGTTATCATCTGATAACCATTTTATGCGATTCTGTCCTTAACTTTTCACTTTTTGTCCTCAATATCAATAGGGGTCTCCTTTAAGTCATAGGGACTTATGAATTTTAATTGCAAACCTAGAGGATTTTTGGAGATATAATTTGAAAACTTCAGTGTTACAGACAAAAATTCATTTCCCCGGGTATCAGATGTCGGGTTGCAGAACGACGATAAGTTGAACATGCAATGAAAACCACCTACTGACATCTATCAAATGTTCTGAATCTTCATATAAAACCTGGTTGCCTCTTTCCAAACTGTAAAATTCTTCTCTCCTATTCAGTAAACAGAGTAAATACATCATTTGATTATAAAATTGGAAATGCAGTAAATATTTAGATACATGTATCAGTTTTTTTAAATCTTGGGACATATTACAGACATATTGTTTTGTGAAAAAGGAAAAAAAAAAACCAAATAATGTTCACCAGTAAGTTACTAAAATTGATATTCCTACCGCCTTGGATCTAGGTTCACAATAATAAATTAAAATACAATGAATCTTGAAAAACCTTCTTTTTTTTTAACTCCAAAGCAAACTGTGTAATACTCAATGAGGCATCTCTAATATAAGGAACTTCACCCCCCCCCACCCCCGGGTCCAGATTTCAGTACCTTGATCTGCGCTAAATTGTTAAGATTTTGAAAATGCTTTATGCTTTTTAGGATTTACTTTTTTTTGTGTTAGCCATGTGCATATAAAGTAATTTGCAAAATCTTGTGGAATTATATCGCTTATAAAACTCCTGTGCTCTAGGCAGACTTTTGCAGTACCAGAACAGGACTAAACATGTATGAACAAAATGTGGAAATGTTGAAATTATGTTGCTTTTGACCAAAGGTGTACAATAATTATGACGTAATGTCATTCAATTAGGATGAGATAAAGGACATAAGAAATGACAGTAAGAATGTTTTCTAGAGAATTATTTGCAATAGACATGATTTTTTGGCCACGATGTGAGATATACTTTACTCAAGATCATCCTGGCACTATCAAAGTCGCTTGCAGAAAAATCCTCTTGTTACGATGTTGACAGAATTCCAGTTTGTTAATAATCACGAAATTCTCAGTGACTTTTGTGCACAATCATTTAATTGGGGCTGGTATTTTCAGACCTTTTCAGCTCTAAGGATGACTAGAATATTTATAGCACCTTTAGGAAAATCTGAAAACTTCAAATTCAGTGACTCATTTTTAATGTCCTGTCATTGAAATCTTGGTGGTAACTATAGAATAGCCTTTGAATTATAATTGCATAGAAGACTTGATTTGATCTTTGATATTTCCTAAAATAACATTTCCTTTGTTTGTGCATGACATTAATCTGATACTCATATGTTAAAATCATTTTATTTCTACGCGAATCTATCCGTTATTGCTTTGATCAAGATTTTATAAAGTCGTGGTTTCATTGTCATATTTGCTTTTGCGGGATCAATTGATAAAAGTCAATGTTAGCGAATGTTGAACACACTTTGTCTGTAAGGTATAGCTATTACCGTAAAAGCAGAATTTTTAGCTAGGATTCAATATTGGCATTATCAGCAAGGGTGTTGAGATCGCTAAAATTGAATATCGCTAACAATTTATTCCGTATTGGTTGTAATCGCTACCTTTCTTGGCATTATAAAATCGCTAAAATTACTTTTTGCTAAAAATATATAAATTTTTAAGGAGAAATTGTTGAGAAAGTCTTGCTAAAAAATCTTGCATGCAGATAGTCCTTATCAATATTTATTTGGGAAATATATCTAGAATGCGTAGTTTATGTCGGAATCTTGAATTCAAAACCATTGTATCATTTATACAGTGTTGTTCTTTTTTCGTTTTACCAGTTGAATTGACAATTCCTTCCACGATGAATAAGCATCTACACCAACAAAGTATACCTAAATTAACAGAATAGAGTGTCGTCAATGAGCATCCGATGAAATAGCTCAATGGCATCACATCACACAATGGTAAGGTCATTATCCCATACTAAGATTACTCTGTTTACCCGATCTAGACAAAGAATTACGACGGATATGACCGGTCGACAAGGGATGCTTACTCCTTCATAGCAGCTGATCCACCTCTGTTGTTTTCAGTTGTTCGTGTTTGCTCTGCTCTCTATTTGTATTGTTTGATTGGACTTTTGGACATGATAATTGATCGTTACATGTATCTTCTCATTTCATCTAGTCTGTAGGGTTTAAGAAGCTGGGGAGGAAGGGGGGGGGGGGTGTCAATTGGTTTCAACCCAAGTTTCAATGAATGTCCAGCTAAGTTAAACTTAACTGTCTTCTGGAAATTCAAGATCTTTAGGTAAAGGGTTTATCTATTCCATATATGATTATGTGGCAAATATCTTAAAAGGAATGAAAAGCATTGAATTATCTTAATATCTGACAAAGGATAAGGAGAGAGTGTGCTTGAAGTGACGGAATATGTTCTACTGCGACTGCCCAAGCTTCCATCCACACCCCACCCCCACCCGTAAGAAGAAAGAGGGAGATTATGTCTCTGCCACTCTATTTATTAGAATAAATGTTTGAAAATTATCTAAAACTATGGTGAAGCAGAAGATTTTTTGCCACAATACCGATCCGAGTAATCGTTTCTCTGTAATTTTTCTATGAATTTTCACCTTTTTTTTTTTTTTAATTTTTTTTTAAGTGTTGATATCGTAGTCTGACTCAACCTTCCCACGGAGCCATGATTTAAACTTAATTATACCCCCCGCTTGAAAAGTGGGAGGGTATATAGTGATCAGGGTGTCCGTCCGTCTGTCTGTACGTCCGTCCGTCTGTTACACTTTGGGGTACCTTTCTCTTATCCGCAACTCCTCTTATACCAATGAATGAAACTTAATGAGATTTTCACAGAATCTTTGTTACATAGTGCCATTGTGCACCTTCTATTTTACTTTTTGATCTGAAACTTATTTCGGGTCTCCCAGGGCAAAATATGGACTTTGCCATTATAATCATATGGGAAGCGGGGGGTATCATTTAGTGAGCTCAGTGCTCACAGTAGTTTAATCATTACCTGAAAAATGTTTGCATATGAATATTGCTGATAATGACCTGTTGTCCTTTAGAATTTAGAAAATAATAATTTCCCGTATATTAATTCCCTTGAATAAATCTATCCCCTATTTTGGGACCAACAATAATCCTTTGTGCTCAGAATCAGTCAAAATTAAATATGCACTACATTAGCTAGGATATGACTTATAATGACCTTGCTGTTCTTTTTGAAAGATTTTTAAATATTGTTTATTACATATTCTCATGTGAGAATATTTGATCCTGAAAAAAAAAATCGTGAAAAAGCAGGAAGACCATTGAGACTCCATCCTATCAACCTCGGCCATTATGCGAACAATATGGAACTGTGGGAAGAAAAAGAACTTTTGAAGAAATATTACATTTAACTGCAACAGTATAATGGTGAGGATACAAACTTTGTTCTGTATGTTATGTTAAGGACTAATGACCCTCTGCGCTAATTTCAACATTTTTTTTAAACTTCCCAACATTGATTTTCATCAAAAGCTATAGCATTATATTCTAATGAAAAATAGTATTAGAGATGAAGTGCTGCTCATTTTTTTTTTAGAAATGATTTTTATGCCAGACCATGATATGAAGAAATTTTACTGCAGAGAAAAGGTAGAGTAATAATTTATTATCACAACATAAAATTAAAAATACGATGTGTATATGAAAATAATATTTAGTGTCATACCTATTAAATTCATACTAGAAAACATAATAATGCGCTGCTTCCTAAGTCAGAATATTATAATGTTATATGTGCTTGTAAGAAAAGAAAACGTCCATTACCAATTCTACAAATGGTACTTGGTCG